TTATGACATGCGTTCAACCAGTCTGTCGAGTTCTGTAAATTTGATATGCGTCGCTTTTTCCGCTGAATTCTACTCCTTTCCTTCATCACCATTAAAGAGCACTTTGTCACGGGTTTACAAGACTCTGTAAAACTTTTCTTTCGTCAGCTAAATTTAACCGGGCTACAGATGACGGTCGTCGGTCTTTATGTCGTTGGGGATTTGCCGCGGAGTCCGATCAGGCGGTGATTAACGTCGCGTCGTTGTCGGGCTATTTGAAAAAGTGCATGATAAATGGTTATTACTTTTCGTCGCTGACAGGGTGCTTATTTGAGAAGACCGCGGCATGTCGATAAAGCGACGCATGACAGGCGGAATCGCTTCATAGGCGCCAGTTGGAGGACAGGGCGCCTGGTCAGCATCAGAGGTGGTCCTTCGTTCATTTCAGGACAACTCGGCATCCTCGGTTTCTTCGGACCTGTTGTCAGTGCTCTTTGAGAACAGCCGTTTTAGTTGTACAGCACATATGTATTCGGCAGTAGTTTTTCATTGACCTGTTTGTTGGTTCAATTGATGCCTTTCAATTAAGCCTTTAACTTAGGTCGTAAATAACGCGTATGGGTGGTACGATTATTTGTAATGATCAATTTTTCCGTATATATACTACATATTATACCATATATAATGTATACTATATATCATAACTGCATTTTTATTATATTAAACATACATGTCAAGTGCGATTGAGCTTAAACTGTCACTAGCCTCTATTGTAACCCAGCCAATTTCCACTTATTCTGCTGTTCAAGTCGTCCTTGTCCTCGTTTAGAGGACGACCCTCGTCTCCGACTGTCGAAAACTGAGTTCAACAAGCCATGGAGTGATGGAGATTAAATCGCGCGGAAGCTCGTCTGTGCGCCAACGAAAGTTTTTACACTGCGACCGCTTAGCGTTTCTGACAGCGCATAAAAAAGCCGCTCTCAATGGCCTATCGAAGCCTGATTTATCGCCTGCGCTCGCCCATTACGCTAAATCTTGCTGTCGTAAAGCGAACCTGAGAATCAGCAAATGGTAAAGGATTTCGCGAGCAGCGGGTGGGTTCGGTCGTTTCGAAGATAATGGCTGGAAATTATAAGTTCTTTTGGACGCTTTACGACCATCCGAAGGGAAACTCGTCTCCATTTTGTCGCAGTTTCAACCGAAACGGCAGTCGTTCAACGTATGAAAGCAATACGCCGCGGTTTTTTAAATTCTCTATTTTCGTTCAGCTTACGTTATCGTATGCCTCGTATTTTAACATGTTCAAAAT